AACAGTTATTTAGGAGTTCATAAATTATCTTCCACATTTTCCCTTACTTTAGTTTCCAATTTTACGCAGCTTGTATATGCTTATTCCTCAACAAAAACCTGCTCAAAGCAGAACTTTAGCTCATAACTTCTAATCTATAGATATGCTGTACTTTTTCATGTCTCAACCCTCATTCTTTATTTATTATAAAATTTAAACTCGAGATTTTTATTAAGAAAAATTCATAAGTTTTGCATATTTTCTTACCATTCCTTTCAACGCTTAAGATTGGCGTTGAACCAATTTATTTAAGCAAATTTCCATAAAAGCTTTATTAAAAAAAATCAATATACCATTAAAATTAAAAATTTCAAAAAATGATTTTTGTATAATTTTTATGCTTTTTTTTTATACAATCTGATATATTATTTAGATGATTAATTTTTTAATTTATATAAAATATATAATATTAAATACATTTATTTAATAATATATAAAAATGATATAAAAAAATTTCTACGTAGCACCAACCAAAATTTTCAGTTGTTTGTATATAGCAAAAACAGAGGGCCGAGGTTAGCAATTATCCCCAGAAATTAGGGTCAAAGTCAATTACGCTTTCCTGTTTCTTGCTTACACCGTTTGCATGCGGATCTTGACATCTGTATCTCTGTCTCTCCTCTTCTCTCTAACCCATCCACACGTTCTCAACTTAGTAGATTCAACTCCCAACTGTAATTTCAAATTCAACCCAGATCTCTTCCTCCATGGAAATGGTTTCTAGCCCTCGAACCGTCGAGGACATCTTCAAAGATTACAGTGCTCGAAGAGCTGGTCTCGTTCGTGCTTTGACTTCTGGTAATTCCCACCTCCCTCTTTCCCCCTTTGAATTTTGCATCGAAACAACTTTCATAACAGTGGCTTTTCTTTTTCAGATGTGGATGAATTCTATGGCCTCTGTGATCCGGGTAAGGTGTTAATGGAGATCAGAGCTTTTTGGGTTTTCATCTAATTTAGAAATTATATAGCTTTTTTTCTTGCATATGGAATTGGGTTTGTCGCGTTTTAATTATTTGGTTTTCTTTACATGCAATTAGATGTGGGTTCGTGGTTGAATTTGGAAATTTCACTGACCCCAAATTTAGGACCAAAGTAGAAATCCAAAATGCTTCCTGCTTTATATGTTCTCTTCCTAGAAATCAAGATTAGGTTACTGGTTCTTTAGCATGTTTTGTGTATTTATGAAAGGTTTTTCCTTTTGATCTCTGTTTTGGTTTAGAGAAAGAAAATTTGTGCCTTTATGGGCATCCAAATCAAAGCTGGGAAGTAAATCTTCCAGCTGAGGAAGTTCCACCAGAGCTTCCAGAGCCGGCACTTGGGATTAATTTTGCAAGAGATGGAATGGATCGCAAAGACTGGTTATCCTTGGTTGCAGTACACAGTGACTCGTGGTTGCTTTCAGTGGCCTTTTATTTGGGAGCCCGTCTTAATAGGAATGAAAGGTATAATGAGGTTTTCTAGTTTGCCACTAGATATTTCTTACTTTTTAACAGTTTTGGAAATCAACACACTCTTACCTTTCCTTGTTCATCCGTTTTCATTTTGGGTTGATGAATCCAGTAGACTTGTTATCAAGAATTGGGTGCTCTCTTATGATTGAAAATGGATTTAGTGATATTCCGCAGTTTACCATGTGCTTGCAATTGTGCAATGCTTCCTTATCCAGTATAAGATAAGGGTATATGGGATGAAAGTTCAATGAATGATTTTTGATGCTTTTCTTTGTGTGTCATCCACAGCAAACAAAGTAGTTATAATTTCTTGCCTTTTCTGGTGTCTGAAATAGTTGGGAAGAGTAGGAACTTGATGATATGTGCATATATCCTTTTGTTATTGGTTGTCTACAGAACTAATTTATATCATCTGTTACAATTCTCTTTGACAGGAAACGACTATTTAACATGATTAATGATCTGCCGACGGTCTTTGAAGTTGTAACAGAGAGGAAGCCCATTAAAGATAAACCCAGTGTGGATAGTGGAAGCAAATCTCGGAGCAGCACAAAGGTTTAGATTGATTAAAATTTGGTTTAGAACTTATTATATTTTCTTTTTTCTTCTCAAGACTGGTGAAGCCAATGGAAAGCATGTCAAACGTAATCCTCTTTTCTTACAACAAAGGTGAAAAAGAGGAAGAATCATAATAAGAGGAGTCTATTTAAAATACTTTCTAATTTTCACATAGGCGACATGCTGCAGTGTTGCTTCATAGTTCAGAACAAGAGAAAGACTTCTTTTGTTCTGAAAGAAATACGTGACTTTATTTTGATTAACCTTGGCAGGATACTGTTTCTTAATTGGGTTCCTCATCTTTGGTAGAGATCAAGTGATGGACTGGTGAAAAGCACTCCTAAGCTCATGGATGAGAGTTATGAGGATGAAGAAGATGAACATGGGGAAACACTCTGTGGCAGCTGTGGTGGAAATTACAGTGCAGATGAGTTTTGGATTGGCTGTGACATCTGTGAGAGGTGGTTCCATGGGAAGTGTGTCAAGATAACACCTGCAAAAGCTGAGAGCATTAAGCAGTACAAATGCCCATCTTGCAGCATGAAGAAGAGCAGGCAGTAGTCACTTAATCACCAGAAAAAGAAAGGAGAGGAGATAAGGAAATGCTGTTTCAGTGGCTGACAAAGTAGCATAGCAGCATTACCATCAAGTAATGTAATATAATTATTTCGTTATCAAAATGCTTGTTTATGGTAGATGCTATCAACCAAACAAAACTTCTTTCATAAATGTTAGCTCATGTACTAAAATTCTCTAATTCATAGAAGTTTTTGGCTGAAATGGAACTTCGTTGTCCATACATATTTGTCTACTTTTCTTCTTCAATCATCGAATTAGTTATTTGATACAATGTAAACTCTCACCATTAAGAATGTCTGGTCAAGCTCAGCCGTGAATTTTGAGGTTAATCAAAGATCTGAAGAATACCGGATTGGATTCCGTGTTTCTTATGCGTCTGTTGTTGCATCTGTTGTTTCATGGAAGTTTAGTGTCTGAAGGCATGTACATATAAAATGATGTTGGACCTTGGATATCCCCGCAAAAGGTGCTTGGACAAGGAACAGAAGCTTTTGAGTTTGGTTGATTCGGACACTGCAAACCCCAGTTGAATTTCAACAGGGAAAAAACAGTGCATGGGATATCCAGTAATAGTATCCATCCCTTTCTTAGCCCTCATCGCCTCCTTGATGTTTTTCTGTGTTCTGTCTACAGCGGTATCATCCATGTCTCTATAATCATCTCCAACAAGAAGGTTTGTTTGGCTGGCCAGAAAAAAGCTAACTCCTACAAGAAGGCAATTTCTGGTTTAGATACGTACTGGGGCCACTCTGTACTCTGAAAATGAGCACGAGTCACACCCATGGCTCCAGCAAAGAAGGCCTGAGATGGACATGGGAGCTCCATGACCTGTTTGAAGAGGCTGTTAACTGGCTTGGAGGTCCAGACGGTAAGTATTTTGACATGCATATGCATATCTAGTCATGGATGGTAAGCTTGTGCCTATGTCTTTTATATGGGAATGAAAGGGGCAACACCGAAGGGTATTCTGAAGGCTAGGAACGTCGAAGGACTGACCATTTACCATGTCAAGAGTCATCTTCAGGTTCTCCTTCAATCCAATTTAGACCCTAAATATTTTTCTGCTGTTTATCATAAAAGTCAGGTATTTTTATTTTCTTCCTAGTCTTCTGTTTTTTCCTTCATAGAAATATAGGATCTCAAAGTTTATTCCAGAAAGTGGTACCAGTAAGTTTTGAGTTTGAATCTTCACTAGTTCATAACATCAAAGAAAACAAAAAAAGAAAAAGAAAATAGAAGAGCAAAAGAGGAGACACTTGATCCTTGCTTGCATGAATTTTGATCTCTAGCTAGTTGTCATCCGATCTCATCATGTTGCTTTTTTACCCTGTAGAATGCAACTCAAAGAATAGAAATATTTCTGAAATTCTGCCAAATTTTGGCGCCATGGCGTAAGTTACGATTTCTCCCAGATTGTTTGTTACTTTTTATGATACATAAAACAGATTGTATTTAATTATAGAGGCTTGAATCCCTGACATTGACGTGATCATGAAAAATTTTGTAGTGATGCTCAGCTTAATGAACTTTTGCAAATGCAGATAGGACTCCAAAGGCAACTTAGTGATCATCATGAGGTATTTTAATATAGTTTCTTTCAGCGTGGGGCTAAATTCATGTCAAACCTGGCAGGGGACACGTATTCCCTGTATCCATGTGGATTCCACTTAACATTACAGTGTGTTTCCAGCCAATTTCAGAGTGAATTCACTTTCTGTAAGTTTCAAAAAGAAAAAAAATGGACATAGTAATGTAAATTCATGTTACTTTCGTGTAGGTTCAGAGAAAATTAAAGTCTAAAATGGAGGCTCAATCAAGGTTCCTGGAGAGATTTACAGACAAACCAAGAAACAGGACCAATCTCAGAAAATCTACAAAGCCTTTCTCTCCAGCAACTCTGCCTTCCCTCTGTGAGGAATCTGAATCCAATGCGAAGGACTTTGAATCGGATTCAGAGAGGCTGAAAAACCCGAGATAGAATCAGAAGAAATAGCAGGAAAGATGATAATTTGAAGTTGACAATTTGCTTCCATTGTATTCATATTACAGTCAAAACATGTTTCTTGACAAGGAAGGAAAGTTGCAGTTCATTGCTGCCAATGATGACATCAGTATCCCCTGGAACAATATTATGGTCTGTCTGTCGCCCCTGGTGCCCAGCTTTATGTTAATTTTTGTGAAAATGGGGTTGCTGTAATAATAATAAAATACATAGTCGTGCTTGGAATTTGTATGTGATCATCAAATGATCTGATATGGTATAAATAATGTTTCATTGGGGTTGTTGAGCTTGTACGGCTTACATTGAGATTGTATTTGTAATAAGAACTGGGATCTGAATGATTTGTCCTTCTTTCTTTCTTTTGATTTTTCTCTATTTTCTCCATTTTAGAGATCATAACACACAATGTGTTGCTCGGCAATGAATCATTAGTCCAATAATTAAAGTCAACTACTATGGAGATTAGGTGCTCATAAGGATGCTAACTCTCTATTTTTTTTTTTTTGTTAAAGGATGCAAATTTTATTGATTTTTAATTACAGTAATAAATTTTTAATTTTTTTATTTAAAGATATCAACTTTATCTTTTTTTATTTATTTATTTAAGAATGGTAATTTTATATTTTTTCTATTTAAATATACAAACTTGCGTTTGTCATATGTTGAGGGATGAATTCGTATTGCTTCAAAATTGGCAACATGTGCAATGTGACGTCAGCCAAGGGTCATATGGTTTATTTTCATATCATAT